ACATTAAGCCGATTCTGGAATGGATGAAGGCTAGTGCTCCTAAGCCCAAGTGGAGCGACGTCTCAGCAATGAGTTCGACCACGAAAAGCTATTGGGCCCAATGGGACGGCTTGCTGATTCAGGATGGAGTCCTGTGCCGTAAACGGGTAAATGGTCGGGGAGACAGATGTCGTTTGCAAATAGTTGTCCCTAAGGCTAAACTCCGGTAGTTTGGTCTACAGCTGTACCATAGTGATTGTTCAGATGGCCACCTGGGAGTTAAGCGAACTCTACTGAAGATCCGAGAACGGTTTTACTGGGTCCACTGTCGTGACGATGTCGAGGACTGGTACCGCAAATGTACAAGTTGTGCGGCTGTAAAGGGACCTCAAATTCGTAGTAGAGGCGCATTGAAATTGTACAATGTTGGTGCACCATGGGAGAATATAACCATTGACGTTGCAGGGCCGTTTCCGGAAAGTGAAAGTGGTAATAAGTATTTCATGGTTGTGATGGATTATTTCACTAAGTGGCCAGAAGTCTTCGCCATTCCAAATCAAGAAGCTTCAACAGTTGCAAATAAACTAGTTCATGAAGTCTTCTGTCGTTTTGGAGTACCTTTAGAGATTCACAGCGATCAAGGAAGGAATTTTGAGTCTCAAATATTCCAGGAAACTTGTCGAGTTATGGGTACTCATAAAACACGAACAACTTCTTACCAACCACAATCTGATGGAATGGTAGAACGATTTAATCAGACATTGGAGAGGTACCTAGCAAAAGTTGTGGAAAAACGGCAACGAGACTGGGACAGGCACATACAACCATTTTTGTTGTCATTTTGAAGCGCTGTTTACGAAAGTACATCAGTGACACCAGCTTTCGCAAACTTTGGGAGAGAATTACGGCTGCCTGCAGACCTGCTCACCGGAATACCACCTGATGCCCCACGTAGTATAACCGATTATGCAAATGACTTGCGGAACAAAATGAATGACATTTATGAGCACGTCAGACAGACGGGCCAGCAGACGTCTGAGAAGATGAAAACACGGTATGACGCAAAAAGAACAACGGGGGGTTCGACGAAGGTTCATTAGTGTGGTTACACCATCCAGTTCGCAGCAAAGGGAAATCTCCTAAGCTTCAAGCTAAATGGGACGGACCGTACCGGATTGTGAGAAGGATCAATGACGTAACTTACCGGATACAGAAAGGTGCCAGAGGCACTCCTAAGATTGTCCATGTGGATCGACTGGCGCGTTATTATGGGGCCAATATTGCTCGGGACGAGCATGTCTTAGGAGGGGGCAGTCTTGCGCGCCACTATTAATGTCTTGTACATGGCAACACTAGTTACACTAGCGCCCTCTAGTGTCGAGTAAAAGAAAGTGTTGCGCGCCACTATTAATGTCTTTTACATGGCAGCACTAGTTACAGTAGCGCCCTCTAGTGTCGAGTAGCAGAACTAGGAGAGTCGAGATCCTTCCAGAAATTTCAGGACCGATATGTACTCGAACATTCTAGATGTCGCTACAGTAGAAGGTTCTGGAAACTATCTGAGGCCCTATATAAGGCCGGTATAGACCACGACCGAGGCAGTATTGAATTGGCGTTACAAGAGAATACTTCGAAGCGAAATAACTGCGAACTAAAGTGATTGTGTTTTATTATTAGTGTGGTTTTACATTATAATTAGTGTTGTGTAATTAAAGTGTCAATTTTAGTAATTCAATCGGCAGTTTTCAACTGTCTAGAACCCCAAGCTCGTAACAGTAATAATAGTAACATTGCACTGCTGAATGAACCAATAAATATTTCTAACTCACCTCTCTTGAATATCTTTAAGCCTGCTCTCTAATAATAGATAGCCTCGCAATATGGTCGTTTGTCACCCTCACGGTGATTAGTTGCGTGGTTGGAGGGTAGGCGGGCGTTGTGCGGCGGTTTGTTTTAATTTTACAAACGGCTGCGTAATTCCAGCGGTGATTGGTCGCATGTTTTATCTCATGACGCAGCGCTCGCTCCTTAAGAAGGGAGCGGTTACGTCAGCGGTCTGTATAAATAGGAGTTGTTTTGGCTCGCCGCTCACTTACCGGTCAGCCACCACAGAGTCTTGATTACCTGAAGATGCCTCGTGTAGAGGCGAAACACGTGTTATATTGTAGTCAGTGGTGTGTCTTTCCTAGAGTAATGGTGTTGGGAGTAGTGGTGCTGGGATTAGTGGTGACGATGACGGTGATAGTGCACGCAATTGAGAGTGGGCGGGAGGTGCTCTTCAAACTAGGTAAGACACATCATTTTCTTTTATCGATCGGATGTACGCGAAGTAATTTTTTACCAACTTTAGTATATGGACCTCCGCAAAGTAATGCCTGATTCTATTAAATTTCCCTCGATGTTTCGAAGGCCTTTGACAGGGTTTGGTCTATTGGGCACGCTTTCAGCTTACGGCTTATCTCCTGGCCTGATTATCTGGGTGAAGGACTTTCTGAGTGAACAGGTCGTCGTTGATGGCTGCACATCCGAAACTGAAGCGACTAACGCCAGTGTTCCTCAGGGGTCCGTTCTCTCCACAACTCTCGTCCTGCTGCATATAAATGATCTGCTCATGCCCGGTATCTATAGGTATGCAGACGACAGCACAGTTGTGGAGAGATACCAACCAAGCGCCCGGGCCAGTCGGGATCAAATCCAGTCAGAAAGAGAGGCTATGGTTGAGCGTGTGAGTCTCACAATATAGGCAGTCTCCGAATGGGGCGATGCCAATCTCGTAAGATTTAATGCCTCCAAAACACAAGAGTGTCTTTTTACTGCTAAAAGGAGCCCGCTCACCTTGGCTCCTACTTTCCGGAATGTATCCTTGGAGTACACTGACCGCTTTTATTTGTTATGGATTTAATTTTCTCCGAACCTAAGCTATGGGCGGTTCATTGAATCCATAGCCAAAGCAGCCGCAAGGAAACTTTGTGTCCTTGCAAGGGTGCGGCGGTACTTCACACCGGGGCAGCTTCTTACCTTAAGCCGCATACAGAAAGAAAGCTGGTAGCATATCAGCGCTTATAGGGACCGGTCCACGCAGGTAACCGGCGCAGGCATTTATATAAAAAGGCGCCGATAAGCGCCGAACGTCGCCTACAAGTCCGACAATCTTCGACACGCGTCGGTCAGCGCTGGCGCCGCCCGCCATTTAAAATCAATAAACAACTATACAACAACACGTATAACTACGACACGCATATATTTTTGTTAAATAGAGAAATGAATAGTGACGTGTTGATTGTACGGAAGACGGCATATCAAGAGTACACTTAGATAATTTTTAAAATCGCTCTTATTACAAAATAACAAGGTCGGTACAAATCTCAGTGTTACGCTTGATCTGCTGTCGATTCTACAAGTGTATATTTAAAGCACGTTTAAACATTTTAAATTATTATTTATTACAGAGCTTTACAGTTCTAAGGCGAATATTTTGTAAAATTGACTAATGGACAAATAAACATCTTTTCTTAAACATTTTTTTATTATAATCTTTTTATAAATCTAATAACATTATCTTTTAATAACTAAGCGTTAAATATATTTTTACGTACTTAGTCTTTCTTCTGGAAGGATTGGTTGTTTATGCCAATTACACCAATTTTCATCAAATAATTTTTCACTAAGTCCAAAATGTAATAAAATGTTTCTTGAGTCATTCTTGTATATCTATAGAATCTTTGATCACAAACTTTCAATTATTGTTTTACAAATAAATGATGGTATTCTCCGAAACGTTTGCTTTCTCTATTAATAGGATGTATAGCTTATTTTCGCATTTTAAAATACACATTTTCTAACAAAACTAATTCATCGTCCGATGAGTAAGACATTTTGCTCGCTCTGCTTCAATCGGCTTGCTTTATGTAACTGTTACCAGAATAGACGAGCGCCGATAAGCGCTGGTAGATCGGCGCCGGCTGCCGGCTTTCTTTCTGTATACGGCCTTATATAAAGCGCAAGTCCGGTCGTGCATGGAGTACTGCTGTCACATATGGGCTGGTGCTGTAAAATGCCACCTGGCAGCATCGGACTCAGTGGAGAGACATGCTGAGGCTCATTGGTGACCTAGATTTGGTTGAAACCAATCTTGTCAGCCTCGAGCACAGGCGAAGAGTAGCCAGTCTCTTGATATTCTATAGGATGCATTTCGGTGAGTGTGCGCAGGAATTACACGCTTTAATTCCTCCCTCTCCTTTCCACCATCAGACAACCAGAAGATCGGCGGGTCTTCGTCCCTTTGTTGTCGATATTATACGCATTAGAACCAAACGGTTCGCTTCGTCTTTTGTAATGCGTACAGCAAAGGAGTGGAATAATTTGCCAGCGTCTATCTTTCCGTCCGAATGCAATCTGAGCGTCTTCAAGGTAAGAGTGTTTTGTTACGATAAGACAGTGCGATTTACCATCTAAGGCTGCATCACCACTTACCACCAGGTGGGATTGTGGTTAATCACTGGCTTATAATAAGTAAAAAAGAAATTGGACTTGACAAGAGTTTTGGCGGGAACTTGACCGGCGGCGGATTGCTGTTCCTGTGTTGTTTAAATAATGGTTTGAAGTGGATTTCAATATGTAAAAGTGGTGCGATTTTGTGTATTAAGTGTCTGCACATGTGAGCTATTAGTGGAAATGGTGAAACAAGTGCTCTGTAGGTGATGTGATCTGTCTGCTTAGGCATCTTGAGATACCATCCCTTTCAGCTGTCTGCTGGCTCAAGTTGCCGTCAAAATGTCCCAAGGGATGCACAATATGACGCATCAACATAATATTGTGAAGCAGTATACTATGAAAGATAATTAATTTCGGGCTCAGAAAGGCTAGAACCCAGTCGTAAAGCCAGTTATAAAAAAATTAACTTGACGTCTTGACATTGACAGATAAAGTTAGGTTAGAAATGTGCAATATGTGCCTATTATTTGCAAAAATTAATTAGGAATTTAATATTTAATACATTAATATAATCCCTTAAATATGCAATGGCTTCTATAACAGTAGGTAATAACATTATTGCTGTAATAAAGGACTTGTATATAGACTGCTACGATTATTCTAACCACAATGTAATTGTTGTGGAATCTAATGATAATAATGACAGGATTTCTGACATCATATTATCATATAATTGTAGATATTTAGCTGTAATAACATCAACATCCAAGCAACTTATTGTGTATGAACTGCCTTCACTCACAAAAAAGAAACAGTATGTACTTCCCAGAACTGGAAGCAAAATTCGATTCTCAGCAAGAGGTGACCGAATATTTGTAGCTGACAAAAGTGGTGATGTACTTATGTATGATATCACTAAGGAAGGTGATGGAATTAAACTCTTAGGTCATTTAAGTTTATTACTTAACATTCTGCAAACAAATAACTGTAAATTTATAATTTCATCTGATAGAGATGAAAAAATTAGAGTGTCTTGTTACCCAAATACATATAACATTCAAACCTATTGTCTGGGGCATAGAGAATTTGTGAATCATATAGAACTTTTACCTCATGATGACAATTACTTAACAAGCACATCTGGTGATGGCACTATCAAATTTTGGAACTATACAGAGGGAAAACTATATTACAGTATTGATACATTCCTTGACATAAATGATGAGAAACTAAAAGAAAATTTTGCCAAAATGATGATAGCAGATGGAATTGAAGTGAATACTTTGCCAATTGTACACTATGCAGTTACAAAATTAAATGATTCATGTAGCATTTTAGCTGTGGCTGTTCACACATTTAATCAAATACTCATTTATAGTGTTCATACAAATAATCAATGTTTTGAACATAAACTACATGAAAAATTGGATGTGCCACAATTCCCAGCTTCTTTTAAGTTTTATAATAATTCTTTGTTTGTATATAATGCTGTTGATAGTAATGTTGAAATTTTTAAAATTAAATATGAAAAGTTAAGTATCTCACTTGAAATTGGTGAAAAAGTTCAAATGTTTATAAATAACAAATTAAATGCTAATATTAATTTAGAAAACAACCACACAATTAAACTTTTATATAAAAGAAAATTTGACAATGTGCAAGAGTATCAAGAAAGAAAAAGACAAAGATTGGGAAAGGTATGAATATTAAGAAGGTATAGCAATATGCCAAATTTGTGATTAAAGAAAAAATGTTTTATAAAAATCATGGTTTAACTCAAAACTAATGTTATGAGTCTTCTTTACATAAAAATAAAAGATTTTAACCAGGTATTTGTTTATTATTTTTACTTACATTTCAAACAAAAAAATATTGAAGTGTCCTGTACGTTGTACAAAAATAAATGAAATGAAAGTTCTCAACATTAAGCTAACAAGATTTCTAAGCCACATTTTGATTAACACTAACAGAAAAACTAAATGTTACTATATCACAATTTTAACTAAACACAACAAATTAGGTTTTGAACTAGATTTTGAAGGTTAATAGTGTTGCTTTATTTTATTATAAGTGCAATATGCAATAATTCACAAATTTCATCCCACTTAAATATAATTTGTTTGTTAATAATTAACAATACATGTATGTGTCTATTTTTACAATCATCATAACTTTCTAAATGCAATAAATACAATTTGGGTCTTTAAAACATTTTATCTATCCTTAAGAATATTAGCAAAGTTACGAAGTTGAGAGCTAAGATTATCATCAATTTTATTCAGTACACTGTCCACCTCATTCTTGAGATCCATTAAATCTGGTAAGTTTTTGCAGTCTGGTATGTTAAGTAGAGTTGTGAATATTTTGTCCCATAAAGTGACATTCAAGTACCTGAAAATTTCATTAATTAAAAAGCTGTAAGTAAAGTACTGTTACTTGAAAATGTGTCATATGATACAGAAACGTGTAGAGAAAAGTTTACCACACTATTCCAATTCACAGATTCCATAATGTTCAGTTAAAGCTAAAGTTACAAGCTATATACGTCCCACTGCTGGGCACAGGCCTCCCCTCATTTACTGAGATGGTTTTAGGGCAATGAAATGTCCACCATGCTGCCTCAATGCATGTTGGCGAACTTCATATCTTCAAAGTTTTTTTCCTTCTCCGCCGAGCATGTGGTAAATCAACAAAATTACAATTAAGAATTTCATTGGTGCTCGGATCGAACTCGGATTGCTCACATACTATGAAATTTACAGCAAGCGCTAACCATCTCAGCTACCACGGCTCATATTCCATAAAAAAATTGGAATATTTTTGATTCTCTAATGAGGAGATTGTCGCAATTTACTATTTTATATCTGCAAATAAAATTATAAGTGCTGAACTACATTTTATATTATGCTTTCAAATTCATGAATGAAGGCTAATAATCTTCCACTCACCAGATGTCGCTAGATGACACTGATGTGAAGTTTTTTTTATAGTGTCATTTAATTGAGAAGTTAGTTTTGAATAAAAGTTTATCACTTTCTAGAGTAATATATTAATACAAAAAACAATTTCAGTGGTTTGCTCTTTAATATTTTGCACATTCGTAACTCTTTTTTAGTTTTTCTACCTTTAATAATGTCTGTGGCTTGAATTATTTACTTTGAATCTAAGTAATATAAAATATATCTAATAGTACATGTTTAGGCCAAAAATCGTCATTTTGAGACGGTACCCAATCACGTTCGACTTTGCGAATCGTCCGATGGTACCAGGTGTGACGCGTGTCGCGGGGAGGGGGCAGCGGAAGGCAGCTTCCCGGCGTTTGGCGCTGGCGAGCGAGACACAGAAGCTCAGAGGCCGCGGCGCAGTTAATTAGCGTATCTCGGTGACCGCTGCAGAAGTTTTTCGCGCGACCGGTTTTGAGTTATGGTCTAGATTCTTAGAATTTGTGCGCGTTACTTCGCTACGTAATTGTGGTTTCGTGAAAACCGCCTCGGTTTAATTTGTCTAGGTTTTAAGTTCGTGACAAGAGGCTTGTATTGTGTTTGACTGAGTAAAGTACTTTCGTTGGAAAGTAATTACTCCAATTATATAGTGATCGCGTGTTGAAGTGCATTTTACAATATTTAACTTGCTCGGGTGACGTGGAATTTCGCGCGCGCGCTGATTAGAGATACGGTCTGGAATTGAACCGCGCATTCCTTTTCGAGGCGTCGCCCGGTTGATTGTTTTGGAAATTATTGTGTAATTATACCGTCGCGTTAAAAGCCTTTTGTGTGTAGCTAGTTTACGTGTCAGCTAGGTTGATTTTGAATTCTTATTGCGGCGTGGTGTTTAATATCGAACGAAGGAGCTTAGTTGTGTTTGTAACGCTGAACCTTATGACTCATGAAGAGATCGCGTTAGTTCCCTATTTGTAATTTGGTGATAAATGAATCCGGAACATTGAATGTTGAACTTTGAACTACTGTTCGTTACTTGTGTCGGGTATTACGTGTTCTACGATGAACGTTGAATTAGTCGAGTTGAAGTTAGTTAAATGTACAATAAAGTGGATAGACTGAAATAGTGACATGAAGAAAGAAATTGTCCATTGGGGACGCCTGTTGGAGTGATGCAGCATTGTGGGGCAGCATGGAAACCGACCACTGCCAGGTCACCTCAGCTGGGACACGTCACCTACATATACACACCACTAAACACCACTATACATGCATCTACTCTACCTACGGCCTGACCGAGCCTTGGGGCGGTCTTAGATTCGGATCCAGGTACGTACTGTTTATTTTCCTAGCCTTCTCCCTATTGTGTAGTATTAGGATAGGTCATTTTACCATAAGGCCACTTGGGCCCGAACCCTCGTCTGCCCGTCGAGGAGGCTACTATGGGCCCTAGTCAAGGCGCCCTTTGCAGGGGCAGCTGGAGGCCGTAACAGTACAGAAAGAAACATTAACCTTTACATTTTTCGGACAAATTAACTTTCCCGCTATGAAATCTGTTAAATAATATGCCTCATTTTTAAGTGGCGTCGCCCTGGTGGCAGAAAATGTCGTGGATGCCCTCATTAGGATCAAAAGGCTTACGATAAATGGTAAACATAACCTTTGCCGTGTTACTTTGATTGTAAATGATTAGTATATATGCCTTTTTCTCTTTCATCTTATAACATCATAAAAGGCTGTTGGTAGGTGATTTATAGTAGAGGAAAGCAGGTGATAACATTTAAGTGGCCATTTTACTAATTTATTTATTTTTCTGCAAGCAATGCACCTTAAATATTATTACATGTTTGTTTTTGCGGCTATTTTTAGCTCTTAGCAGTTGATTATTATTGCTGCTTGATATCACAATGCAAAAAAAAATAGAATATAATAAATGTAAATTGGACTCAAAACAGCTTGTTATCTATTTTATGGACAATTAAATTTACTAAAAATTAAATCAACTACTAAAATAATGAACAATAATTGTAAGTTTGTTGATAATTACAATCATAAGGAAAAATGTGTACCTTGGTAGTTTTTTGTCAATATTCCATTGACCAAGACGATTGGCAACTTTCATGTAGCTTCCCATCAAAATAACATGTATTGTACCAGCTAAGCAGTATAAATCTGTTTGATAAGTCCATGGTTTTCCTTCCCTCATTTCAGTGCATGTGAATCCTTCAGTAGAAATTAACTAAAATGGAATAAATTTATTTAGCTAAGAATTTTGAAACAAGTCACATATCTTTATATATAAAAATTACGTGTCACATTGTTTGTCCGCGATGAACTGCTAAACTACTGAACTGATTTCAATAAAATTTTGCATACTGTGTGCGGTTTGGTCCAACTTGAGAGATAGGATAGTTTTTATCCCGATAAGTGACCCTTAAGTTTTTTTTTATTGCTAATATCAGGAGTTTTTTTAGGAAAGCAAACGGTCGTCGGAAAGGGCAGAACTATGTCTGCCTGGTCTGCTAGTTACATTATATATTTTTATACATGGTAGAGCCATGCTGCAACTATATTAGTAGTATAGTAGTAGCACGAATGGGACAGCTCGACCGGGGAAGGACCACGCTCTCACAGAATACCAGCGTAAAATGGCAGCTTGACACTGCTGTGTTTCGTATGGTGAGTGTAGAGAACCGGAGACCCATTTTACTGGAAAAGAGGTATTCCATCTTAGGCCTCACGGGTGACGACGCATATGCATTTTGATTCTTTATTGAGGATAAATATAGATGTCTATGGGTCACAGCAACCACTTACCATCATGTGGACTGTGTGCTCGTTTGCCACCCTATCCTATAAAAAAATATTAATAGTCTGTTACTTGTGTTTAACTTATTTTAATAAAGAATGATTATTATTAAATATCACTGCTGACTTTATGCAGAAACTCAGTCATTCTGCAATCTACAGAGGAGGCTATACTAGGTGATCCAAAAGTAATGATAATGAAAATAAAACACGGTAATTAAAGTTAAAATAATAATTTATTTTTCTACATAGTCTCCTAACAAATCAATACATTTAGTCCATCTTTTTTCTAAACCCAGGATTCCCTTTAAAAAAAATTCTTTGTCTTGACCCTCCCAAAACGCTTCAACAGCGGCCATTACTTCGCTATCGTCTTCGAATTTTTTGCCTCGGAGGCGTTTCTTGAGCCGAGGAAAGAGGTAGAAATCACTAGGAGCTAGATCTGGCGAATAGGGAAGGTGTTCGAGCAGTTCGAATCCTGTTTCTTGAATGGCAGCCATCGCAACTGCGGCTTTGTGAGCCGGTGCGTTGTCTTGGTGAAACAGCACTCCAGCTCGCAGTTTGTCGCGTCTTTTTTCCTTAATGGCCTCCCGTAATCTTATTTGGTCTGCGTAGTAAGAGTCCGTAATAGTGGTTTTCCAAATATTCCACTATAATTATGCCTTGAGCGTCCCAAAAAACAGATGCCATAACCTTTCCCGCCGAACTTGAAACTTTGAATTTCTTTGGCGTCGGTGAGGAGGCTCGCTTCCAAGTCATCGATTGTTGTTTCGTTTCAGGATCAAAATGGTGGATCCAGGTCTCGTCCATAGTCACAAAACGGAACAAAAAATTTTCTTGATCTGCTTGGAACTTTTCGAGATTGACCCTCGAAATGTCAACTCGATTTTTCTTTTCCTCGTCGGTTAACATTCTGGGTACCCAACGCGCAGAGACCTTTTTCAAATGCAAATCGTTCGCTAGGATTCTTTAAACGCTGCCACATGAAATCCCTGTGACCTCAGCTACATGCCTGATGGTCACTCTTCGATCTGCCAACACAACGTCTTCGACTTTTTTCACATTGTCTTCAGTGAGAGACGTAGATGGGCGTCCTTCGCGATGTTCATCTTCAGTGGATGTTCTGCCCAGTTTAAACTCCTTGGCCCAGCGTGCTACTGTAGAATATGGAGGAGCAGAGTCCCCCAATGTTTCCACTAAGTCACTGTGTATGTCTTTTGAAGACATTTTTTTCAAACAGAGGTACTTGATGACTGCTCTAATTTCGTTTTTCTCCATGTTGATGTTATCTCTTTGACAGTTCGTATTCAAATGAATGTATCTCCCGGAAATCGTGATCAATTTATATGATTTTTTTAGGCTGACATAGTGAGTATATAAGCAAGCAAAAAATATTTTTTTTGGATTTTTATACGGACCTGAAGTAACCGATTATCATTACTTTTGGATCACCCTAGTATGGAGCAAGCTTTAAGCTTAAATGCGTGATACAAATAAAATAACGGTATCCGCGGTCAAACCAGGGTAAACAGCATAGCCCAACAAATTAATAAGCTGCAGTAGCAATGCGTCGGGCATATAGCTCGAAGCCAAGAAAAGAAAAAAAATAATGAAAGTTTCTCAAGTGGCGACCTTAGGCCATAAGACTTGAAGGAAGAGGATATTATTTTGGTGGGTCAGAACCACGGAATATAAAAACAAAAGGAAGCCCAAAGTGGGCGGGGCAGGCGTCTCACAAATAAGGACAGTAGAGCGTAATTGTCTGTCAGTCGCAGGCTCAAATTATCGCGAACATACTGGTCGCTGCTAAGTGATATTTACGAAATACCAAAGGCACGTGTAATTTTTACTTTTTTGTAAAGAAACTTAACTAAACATGGACAAAATATCAAATTACCTTTATTTCAAGTAATATTCAACCTTATTTCGTTACCCTAAAGTTCATTAGTTAACACATTTTGAATAAAAATTGCTACGATAGTGTTGTGACTACGCCTATATTAAAGTTTTTGATAAAATTTTATCACAGTCCTGTTTATTCACAAACATATTAATGAATATTTGCAAATACTGGATGTCTATGAAAATATACGAAATTATAGGTTGATACTCATTTGTTAGAATTGGTAAGCCAGAGAAGTAAGTAGGTTTAGTATTACTCATGACTTTTGTAAAGAAGCTGACAATATCTAAAATTTAATATAAAAGTGTAAAAAAGATTATTTTTAACAAATATGTGTTATTTTAATGACAATAAACAATGGCTAAAGTATTGATTTTTATTATTCTCCTTGTTTCCATTTCAAAACTGATAATTTAGCTCACAGTTAATAAATATCCATTAATGACAGCTAATTACATGCCGGCTATACGAATTACGGGGATATACGTAGTACATCAAGTTAATTTCCAATAAATATTGCTGTTTTACTCATTTCATTTTCCTATACTTTAATATTGACTGAATATCGATAAGTCACATCACGGTCCCCTAAGAACAATAGATAACGAGTGTTCGCATCGGTATTTTTGAATACTGTTTCTCGTTCGTGCTGCCGGAATTTGCAGTCATGAACGTTTTACATCAATACAATTTTATAAAAATATTTTATTTATTTATGGCCAACGTTTTGCAATCGTCGTTTCTCTAGCGGTCACTTGACCTTCATACAAATAATGCCATATTTTAATTGTTGATAATTTTTTATTTTTGGATAAGAACATAGTAATGACTAAGTTAAAACTTCATTAAAAATATTGTCTTTGGCCTGACCTACTATACTCTTTGGATTGACCATAGGTTTTACTAAGTTGGTGTTAGTTAATGTCACGGCTTGAGTGGTTAAAATAAAAAAGAAAGTTTTATATAATTTGTCACTAAGGTCAACTTACTTAGTTTGTTTATAAAGCGAGCTTTCACACGGGCTCAGGCATAAAGTTGAAAATTTTTAAAAATCGACACCCTAGATCTTATCTTTATGTACTACAAATGACTGTAATCACAAATATTCCTATTTTGTAGTGTTTTTTAAATATCACAAATCATTCAGTAAAAAATTATGTATGATTGAGTCAGGGTTTAAAAAAATATGCGAGATTTTGCAAGTCTGCCCTGTGCTTGAAGGTATAAAATTTAAACAACTGATTTACTTTAAAAAAAAATTAAACTCAGAAAGATAATCTTATTTATACCTACTTTAAAGATAATCGTACGTCTTGGAGACGTACGATTATCTTTAAAGTAGGTATATGCTTGGAAATATGCTTACTCGACAAATTACCGTTTATAGGTAATTGTATAATTATTTTAGAGTATCTCACAAAGCAACTATAAACTAAGTCTTCCTTTTATGAAAAATATGTTTATTTTGAGATTTAAATCACAATTTTTTTTAATGTATTACAAAAGTTTAAATACTAGCCAGTTGTTATACTTAAAAATAATTATATATTGTACCCTAAATCATAATTAGGTACAACGATTTCTTAGATCACTTTTGTGTCTCTCCGCAAATTGGTGATTTATATTTAAAACATGTTATTTTCGACATCCTTCTTATTTCTGATGTCCAGTATGAACAATATATTTTCTCTTCTTAGACTGGTTCCTTGTTCTGATTCACAGCAGCGTTAGGTCAGGTGTTGGTCTTTCTCAAACATGACATAGACAAACATTGATCGAATGTATCTACGCCACCTCTCGTCTGGTTGTAATACATGATCATCTCTGATTTACCAGTTCTTTGATTGATCGTACTTATTTCATCTAAGGACGATAATAAATATATAATTTTTGATGGTTTTGGTTTGTATGATACAAGCGCCAAAGGCACGTAATCGCAGAACATCGAAGATACAACTGGTCGCGATTGAGTATTCTTGAGTTTTTCTGGGATCTCTCGCTTATTTGAGCGTATGGTGCCTACCAGTGTCAGTCTGTTGGGTTCCTGGTAGCAACCATATAGCCAAAGGAACAGACGTGAATCAGAAATCACACGTAATGTTTGTTTGTTAATATTTTAAAGATCCCATATACAGTTCTTCATGGTACTTCGATTAGGTTCTCTAATATTGCCTCAATCTGGATAGACAAGCATGGTGCATCCAGTTATTGCAGTGAAGTATAGCAAAATTACCTAAAAACCTTACACAGAGGATAATCATACATCCATCGGAGGTACGTCATACGAGGGGAGGTCAAAATTTCGCGGAATGACAGGGAAGGATAATGACACACACAAACACTCACGCTTGTCACCCAGAGGGGTAGGCAGAGACTACGGACTTCCGTTTGGCGCGATCCTGACACACCTCTCTCGCCTCCTTTACATCCATATATCTACGCATACACGCTCGTTGATTAAGGGTCATCATCATTCTCTAAACCATTTCCCATTATCTGGGGTCGGCGCAGTAAATCTTTTTGTTCCATTCCTCTCTATCAGCCGTCATTTCCATACTTACTCCTTTCATTCTCATATCACTCTTCACACAATCGATCCATCTTTTATTCGGCCTTCCTCTGCCCGTGTGTCCCTCCACACATAGGCCAGATTAGGAGTAGTACCCTTAATCGACACTCGTCGATTAAGGGTACTACTCCTAATCTGGCCTATTTTTAATGTATCGCCGATTTGGTCGATAAACCTTCGTCTAGGGCTAGGGCGTCCCTTCTCAAACCTGCTGTTCACTTCTGCAACATAAATTTGCTTTGTCACTCTTTCCTCGTTCATTCTTTCTACATGACCAAACCACCGAAGCATTCCTTTCTTAATCCGTGTCGCAACGTCATCTTGCATACCACACTTTTCTCTTATCACACTATTTCATGAAACATTAAACTATTTTTTCATTTCGATGTATTCTCCCTTAACCCTAATACATTTATTAGATCTGTTAAACAACTTATTAATACCGTCTAAAAAAATTTGTTTTGGGCGTCAGAAAAGGCCGAAATTGCCGACTGCACTTCATCATCGTCGCCAATTTTTTTCTCACGGAGTTCTTTCTTTATTTTTTTATTAAATTAAATTTACACCTAATAATAACGTTTGTAAATATCAAATTAATTAGCGAACTTTTTTATGCATGAACGCGTTCGATCTGTTTCAAGCAAAAATAAACCTTATACCATATCACAAGAGCATAATATGGTACTTCGTAGGTCCATTCGGCCTCCACAACATGATTTAAAAAACCCCACACAGTAAAAAGAAAAATGTTGTCAACCTCTGAAAATGTCAAATTCTCAAAATATCCAGAAACGAAGATGTAGGCATGAACTACTTGCAAAATAATGAATATCTTGTTCTGGATACATCTTCCAAAAACGCAATTTGAGCGAGTTATAACGATTTTTAAAATGACACAACTTGGGTGTCATAGGCCACACAGAAAAATAATCGATGGCACGCCTGCCGTGCCACCCGCATTGAATCGGTTAATCTAGTAGTCTATTAACACGGTATGTCTAAGAATTGAGTTTTTCGAAATGGTCCTTATAATCAACTAACAAAGGGTACTATCAACTCATTTAGAATGTCTTACTAATTCAAATCAAGCAGCCTTACCATCTATTTCACTCTATCATATCTATCCTTACACTATGGTGAAGCCGATCTTTGAGTTTGGTCTGTCTAAGGCTTGAGTTTTTCAAAATGAGGTCCTTAAGTAGTACTATCAACTCAATTTGAATGTCAATCTGTCTAATTCAAATCAAGCAGTCTTACTATCTAGTTCACTCTATCATATCTATCCTTACACTATGGTGAAGCAGATCTTTGACTTTGGTCTGTCTAAGGCTTGAGTTTTTCAAAATGAGGTCCTTAAGTAGTACTATCAACTCAATTTGAATGTGAATCTGTCTAATTAAAATCAAGCAGTCTTACTATCTAGTTCACTGTATCATATCTATCTATCGCACTTACACTATGGTAAAGCCGATCTTTGAGCACACAAAAGTAGGTATTATTTATCATGATATGAGTTTTTAATAAGGTCCTTTAGCAAAAGGAAAATGTTTTGTATATGAAAAGAAATCTGACAAGCTTATTGTACCATTTTTAAATCTTGACTAAATGGGCCATCTTTTGAAATGAAGTACTTTAAAAAGAAAAGATGAGATTCCAAAGTTAGCCGACAAAATTTCTTTGAACCATGATTCTATAAGTGGTAGAGCCACACTACAGCCATATAATGGTTATAGGTATATAGTAGGTTGTAGCACGAATGGGTCGGCTGGCCCATCCACGGTAGGACTGCTCTCACAGAATACTAGCATGAAATAACAGTTCAATACTGCTGCGTGTCGTATGGTGAGTGTAGAGAACTGGAGACCCCTTTTTATTGGAAACGGGGCAAACCATCTTGGCCCTCAGGGGTGACAAAGCATATTTTTTTATATAGGATAAGAGTGACAAGAGAGCACACAGTCCACCTGATAGCAAGTGGTTGCTGTGGCCCATAGACATCTACATTTATCTTCGATTACGAATCAAAATGTAGACGCGTTGTCACCCGTTAGAACTAAGATAGAATGCCTAGTTTCCAGTAAAAAGGGTATCCGGTTCTCTACACTAACCATACGAAAAACAGCAGCGTTAAAAGCTGCTATTTTACGCTGGTATTCTGTGAGAGCGTGGTCCTTCCTCGGTCGAGCCGACCCATTCGTGCTACAACAATATCATTAATATAGCTAAAGCATGGCTCTACCACGTGTAAATCTGCATTTTAATTCTTAATTGAAGATATATTATGTAAATGTCTATGGGCCACAGCATCCATTTACTATCAGGTGGACTGTAAAAATCTAATTTAATTTTTTTACTAAAGAAACAACACTCACTGTTTGATTTGCGACTGCAATTAATAACATGGTTATTTATGACGATGTTATGAAGAAAAATACACTGCAAAATTGGACAATAAAATTGTGATGACAGTACGTAAAGATGAATTGCTGTGGAGTAGCCTAGGGTATCGGTTTTTAACTTTTGAAAATACCAGACCTAGTATAATCTAACCTCCTGGCCAGTTTCCAGTTAACATTAGTTTTGAGAAACATGTATAATTAATTAAATTGACTAAACAATGTGCTTAATCAAACTTAAACACCCAAAAGATTTTATGTCATGAAAACGCTAGTAGGTCCATCCATACGCGTTTTCATGACATAAAATTTATACTTTTACATCAATCTCTCACAGTCTTATATTTACTAACCTCTCTAAATGTTGTACCTTCTGGAAATAAAGACATGTCTATTGCACAACCAAAGTCAATTAATTGCAGAGATGGAGTCCTCCATTCTTGAGTAGGGCTGTAAAAAAAACCATAGATATATTACATTGATTAAGAGAGGTTACTAAATTGCTTCTATATAATGGTATAAATAATAAAGTATTAATAAAGTTCATAAACTTACATTTTCATAAGTAAGAAATTATCAGGTTTGATGTCTGCATGAATAATCTGTGCTTTATGAAGATAGTGCACTATGGATAGTATTTCAGATGTCAGCAGGATAACAATGGACTCGTTTATACATTTTGAGGTAGCAATTCTAACTTTGTTGGCAACATCCAAAAGAGACCCATATTTGGAATATTCCGATACAAATAAGCTTGCGTTATCACCTAAGAAAGCAGTTGTTATATCCATGTACCCTGGAAGCTGACAAGGAAAAAAGAGTAGTCATATATAAATGTTAAAAACAACAAAATTAACATCCTCTTTTATTAATACCTACCATAAATGGATCTTTTATTCTCGCTTTTATTTCTTGGCAGATATAAAATTCCCATGGACGACTAGGTTTTTGATACTTAATAGCCGCAGATTTATTTCTGTTCACGTCCAAGCATAAGAACACGGCACCATAATTTCCTTTACCCAACTGTTTTTCAATAGAAAATTTGTTATTACCAACACTTATCATAGTAGCTATTTGTAATTTTGGAATGGATCGTACTTCAATGTACCCTTCAGCATGAGTTTTATTAGGAAATTTAACATATTCCAATAGTGAAGCTATAAGCTTCTTGTTAAATGGATCAATCACTGATGGGAAATCAATATCTGCTGGTCTTGGTATATCACTGGTTTCCACTAAAGAAATAGAGTGTGTAGATTTGAATGCTGCACATTCCATTGAATTCTCACTATCTACATCCATACCATATCCATCTGATTGGAAATCAGATTTTCTTGAATAAACAGATGAGATTCTGCTGTCCTTACTGACAGAATCTCGGCTATCTTCCGATTGAATTTCGGCTCTTTGCTCGAAGTCTAGTTGTCTCTTGGATATATCTTTTTGCTTTTCAATACTGTGAAATACTTGAGCGGATTGGATTGGTGTAGCAGTTTGAGCTGTCATACCATCTTTACTGTCCGAGTCAGACATACCAGATGAAGGAGGTATTTGTGCCTGCTCGGGGCTTGAAACATATAGATTCTTATGCATCTTTTGTGAAATACTGGGACTGTTAGTAAACTTAGGGGTATTGGCGTTGTCTTTAGGTTCATTACGATTAGAAATAAAGTTGAGGAACTGATTTGAAAATCCTACGTCAGAAGTGATTTGAGTATGTTTTACATTAGGTTGGTCATGCCTAATGTTTCTTAAAGCGGAGGGACTCTTTCGCGAGGCTGAATTTTTGGACTGCGGACTCTTATTGTTGCTACCGTTCTTATCAACTTCTCCAGATTCTGGACCTCTCGAGGAAGCATTGTTTGGAGTATCCTGTCTCATTTGTTCATTTTCTTGAGTCATACTATTGTGTACTGAAGCATTTCTGTAATTGTTTTGAGGAGTCTGTGGACTTTGGTAAATCTGAAATGACTGATTGTTTGCCATTTGGTTGTTTGCAATGGCATATGCAGGAGAGTTATTTTCTATGTTTTGTTTTGGTGACTGTCTGTATGCTGTCTGTACTGTATTAAAGTTTGGACTGTTAAGATGTTGGTTAGGACTGCAATAAATATTCACACTGTTATACTGGTTATGCATACTGTGATAGTTTTGTTGGCTGTAAACTTGGTTTTGTGCTGTTATCTGACTTGATCTTTGATAATATTGTGGGTTTTGATACTGAGTTTGATGTGGAGGGCTTTGGAATACTGCGGGTTGTTGCGGTGATTGGTTAGCATATATATGCTGTCGTTCGGATTGACTAGCATAATGAAACTCCTGTCTGTTTGCATATCCATGTTGAGGACTCATCATGACATGTCCTGGGCTATGATATCCCATTTGATTTGAATAGGTGGGACTTTGGAAACCTGCTGGAACAGGTGCATTGACTTCGTGAGGACTCTGCATACCAGGGTGTTGTGGACTATGATAAGCATTTGGGTTAGGACTTTGATAGTTCTGCTGTTGTTGTGTCATCATTTGGTTGTTCGCATATGTCTGTTGATTGTAGCTGAATCCTTGTTGGTATTGATTATGCATTGATCTTTGTGGCGTAAATCCATTATAAGTAGAAGAGCCAGATTTTTGATACTGATGGTCATGGGATTGATAAGGCACTGATGTGGACGGCGGCACTGGTTTATTTTCTTGAGATTCCCGCTTCTGTGGGTAAATCCGTGAAAACTGTCCATTAGGTAGTCTGGGTTGCGTGGATACAGAATTTTTCTTGGTCGCAGTACCTTGCTGTGATGGATCATTGTGGTTATTGTACATGGAATCGAAATTAGTTGTATACCCTGTGAAATTTGTTCTTATTGATTGCCCTGATGAACTTGACCCTGATTTACTGGAAAAGAATATTTTAATGTTTCAAAGTAGATTCATAATTTCTCATTACATTGTTTCAACAACTATTACCATAAAATAAAGTAAATGTATGAAACTCCTGCAAGTAAATTGGCTGTTATTTACTGTGGATAAATTTCTTTAACGACAATAGAAGATTTTAAAACTTTAATAAAATATAACTTTATTTTGCGGTTTGTACTAATAATTTACCTATTATATTCTCTAGTTGCCTCCATTATAACAGATAATCCAGCGCCTTGATTTTCAACAGTAGCATGTTGGTCAGTTGCGTGTTGTCGTGAGAACTCATCCCTTTTCCCAGTGGCATGATCTGAATGTTCAACAACACTTTCATCCATACTAAATTTTGGCACGGAAGGGTATTTATTTGACTGGTCAATACAGCTGGATGGCTTTTTGAATTGTAACATATTTGGTGTGCTCGCATCCTTTATGTTAAAATTAAACACTTGTGTGCAAGAAGGCTCTTCATAATAAGCAGTTTTGTTTACCTGTAACCAACAGTGGGGATTTCATGACAATATTTAATTTAATAATGTGAATGTTAAAAATAGAAGATAAAAAAATAGAAGTGAACAACAAACTTACAATCCACCTGACGGTAAGTGACTACTACAGTTTATGAACACCTGCAAACAACATCGAACAAAGAAGGCTACAGGTGTGTTGTCACTTCTGTGACTAAGATGCAATGCCTCCACAGTCTATAATTAAACTGGCTCCCTATGCCCTTCAAACAAACACAGCAGTGCACATACTGCTGCTTTACGACATAAATAGTTGTTCTGCTTGTATTGCTCTGTATCTGTACTTTATAAATGTTTCTTTTTCGGTTACATTGCCTTATATTACAAGCTGTGTCTCGACAGCAACGCAAAGTCAGGAATTTGCATTTAGGAAAAGCAATAATTACGGGCTTTTTAGGTCCTAATTAAGTGCCAAATTTAAAAATTAGGTGCTCTAAAATTTTCACCATAATAAACTGCTAAAATTTGCGTTGCTATATTTTATCCTAAAAGCTTGGAGACTTTTTAAAATTATTATCTTAAATCTAAATAACACCACATTAATGGATCCTACCCAGACGAAGCCAGGCAGATCGCTAGTCAGCCTACAAAAAACTGCTGCTGGAGGGTGGCTTCTCCCTTTGTAGGATTTGTCGTAATTACTACTTTTGGCAGGTGGGTTGGTAATTACAGTATGTATCAGATGTCTAGTACCTTTGACGTTAATCCTCGTCGCCGGGCTGATTATTTTACGTTTATACTGGATGGTCTGTCATTCATCCATAGATGACATCTATCAGAATGGCCATGAAGTCTTTCTGGCCTTGCCCAAAGTCCTCTCTTATAACGCTTACGAGACGAAATGAGGTCATAGATTCCCTTCCATCCCTTTCTGATGAATCCATGGCTATTTTTAAAGTGTGTGACACTTATTTTTTAAACCCTTATGAATTATATTTCTAATGAAACCCAAGGGCATAAATTATTAGTTCTTTAAAATTATTATAACATACCTGTTGAGTGACATTTACTGTGGGAGGAGCATTAAATTGGTTAGCATTTTCCTTGTCCTCTGGCATGCTCCTTACATCAGCAATATCATAATTCTTTTTGGTATTAATGGCCATAGTGATTGACCTATCTTCATGGATATCAAACTTTGGCACATCAAACTGTTGAACGACTGGCTGCACCAGAGATGCCTCTATATAACAAAAAAGTAATATAAGACAAAACAAATAGTTTTACAGATCAACAAAATTATGTATTGATATTTACCATTGTCATTGAATATGTTTCTTAGTTCCCACCGCGCCTCCTTTGTATTAACTGTTACAGAGTCACCAAGTAGGTTGCTGATTAAGCTTCTATTGAATTCCTCCATCAAGTTGTTTTTAGCATAATTTTCTCCCGCATTATCAGGAGTGAAATTGTCACAGGAAGTGCTCATTTTCTCCACTTGATTTTCTTTGTCAGATGAGGAAGAAGACGACTTTTGGTTATCATCACTTCTCTTAACATCATGCTCACTCAATTCTTTGGAATCCAAGTTAACTAAGACTCTAGGTTCACCAGGCGAATGCATATTTGTCACTTTGGTGATATTTTGTAGAGAAGGTATTGATAAAGGCATAAGCTGCCCTAAATGATCTTGTTCTGTGTCTAAAGCACAGTTAGCTAGTGTTTCTAAAGCACTACATTGTGCCAGAGCCTCATTGACATTGTAACTCTGTTGCATATCAACATTTTCTACATTTGCAGTCTTAGTTTTCCTTTCTAGGTTATATTTCCTTGATCTTATTTCTTCTAAACTGTATTCTATATCGCTTACATAAACCTGAAAAGTTAAATATATTATAAACTTGATATTCATTCATCCAATATAATTATATACATACACACATATATATATATATATATATATATATATATATATATAAATATATATTATATATATATATATATTTACCATAGTTGCCAGGCATAGCAGGTGAGTTGGCAAGCTGATTTCTTCCCAATGATTTCCTTTACCCACGAGCACACGGTAAAACAGCACTTAAAATTGTAAATTAACAATTTCATTGGCTACCAATTGCGGGTATTGAACCAAGGCTCTTAGTTTATGCATTTTAAATCTATTCAAATACTTTATTTATATTATAACATAATGGAATTTCGTTATCACAATATTTACCTCGGACTTATTATAACAAGGAATTTTTGTCGGATCTGTCGGGTCAGGTACACATAGAGGCACATTAAATGTTAGGTCATCCATACAATACGACGAGTGGTTTGGTGGTAGCTTCAAGACATCATCCTCATCTTCATAAGCTGATTAAAAATAAATTAATAACATTATGTAATTGTATAAACTGACCAAGAAAATAAAAATCTCTACTATATTGCGAATATTCAAGAAAATACTTTATAGATAATAGTAACACAAGTAATATGTCGGTGTCTGTGAGAATTTCGTAGAGAACATCTTATAAGAAAAAAATATCTGAAGAATTGAATTATTTTCTGTTAAATAACATAGAAGGCTGGGTCTTTGACTTGACATGACATGTTTTATTTTGAATATTAGGTTTTTTTTAAAGAAATGGTTTGCACAATCTTTTGTGTATCATTCTGCTTTCACTGTTTTACATACCAAATAAAAATTAAAAATAAATATAAGTTTGACAATTTTGATCTAAATACAGCAAAGCATACAACTAAATAATATGTGGATTTTATGTAGTATGTTATTAGTACAAAGTTGTCATTAATTTGTAATGACAGAAACACAAAAAATAACCTGAAACAATGTAGAGGTTTTTCTCATACTATATTAACAACTGTAAATGTGATTCATTAACAAAGTAATAAAAATATACATTCCTCTATGAAAAACACCAAATAATATTCTAGTATCTAATAATGCCAACATAAATTTAAATAAAATAAATAAAAAAATATTGTTCATAATATTCACTTAATATAATGAAGACGTAATTGGTATTCTATTTATTCTAAAGCAAATTTCATCCTACATACTATTGCCATTATTTGCCAATGTTGAATTTGTAACAACTTTTGTTGTATTAACAAATGCAATTTCGAAACTATTGTTAGATCTTTGGAAGACAATCACAGCCGGTGTAAGGTCATGATCATGACCTTAACCTTGGTTATGAGCTTCTCTTTGCCGGCCTGGTTATTTTAAGTCTGGCATAAATATAAGATTTATATACTGCCATCTGTTGGAAGTCATAAGATCTTTCTTTCATTTGCTAGTTTTCGTTATATCTCCCATTTGATTACAAATTCTGTGGTGTTCGAAGAATATGGCGATACAAGTCATGATCAGTCAGATTGGCGGGAGGTGCGGTTCGTTTATGCGGATCCGTCTGTCTAGCTGCGCGGTTCCTAGCACAGATGTGGTGCGAAAAGCGAAAGAGCATTATTTCCCCTTTGCTGACGCATCAATGGCAAAGCTCGCCCGTGGTTTTACATCGAATTCGTCAAGCTGAAAAACGCAAAGCTCCGGTTATGAGCTTTAAGAAACGGGCTTTTAAAATGCGAGACCATCTGGCAGTAGAACTTTTAGATTTCTAGCCAAAGCGGTCGCGACTACCTACACTGACCCCGCTGGTAAAACCCGATGGCATACTAGCGCATACGGCTAAAGAGGAAGCGGTCTTGTTCGCGTCTCTCTTTACTTGTAATTCAAGACAGCGGCAACAATGTTCCACCTCAAATACCTCATCTACGGTACATCTATGTCGATGATAAGCATCACTAACAAAATAGATTCTTAAAACCTTGCGGGATCTGACATGAACAAGGCTAGTGCACAACATGGTGTACTAGCTGTAGCCCTAAATACTTATGCCCCTGAGTTGTCTCTTGTGTTGACGCGCTTTTTCCGTTTCTCATTTAGAACTGGAATAATGGCCAAATTCTAGAAGCTCGCCAATGTGCAACCTCTTCCAAAAAAGGGCAGCAATGTAGACCTTGCCAACTATCGGCTAATCTCAATTACCTCCATACTCTGCAAGATTACGGAACGTATATTCAAAGTTCATAATCCGTCATGGCATAGCTAGAGCAAAATGACCTTAGCAACTGACGTTTGGGTTCCTCTAGGGTATGTGACGCACATATCATACGAGGCTTTAGAGAAGAATCGGGAAGAAATTGCTGTTTCCCTTGTTATCTCGAAAGCCTTTGAGGTCAGGCACGTTAGCCTTTTGGGCAAATTTTTAGTGTACGGGAAGTCTGGACTTTTAAATGAATGGTCTCTCCGAGTTATAATCGAAGACTGCTCTTGCGGGCCTATGACGACCTTGCCGGAGTTCCTCAGGGGTCAGTTTTCTCCGCAAGTCTTTTCTTGCAGCATATTAATGACCTGTTTATGCCTCGCCTTACAGGCAGTCTTCAAATGGAGCGATGCCAATCTTGTGAGATTCAAAACCTCCAAAACACAAGTACTTCTCTTCACACAAAAATAGTAACCAGCTCATCTTAGCTCGTTCTTTTCGTATCATTGCAATTTACCGACCGCCTTCAGTTGCGGGGGGGGGGGGGGGGGGGTGTCGTTTCCTTGAACATAAACGGGGCGGTGGAACACCTCTTTGCGCCCCGAGCTGAAGTTATTCGTAAACGTAAGAGAGTAGCTATTCTCGTCGCCTCGTCAGTCTTAAAAGTAGGGACCTGTCCATCCTTTCGCAACGCGTAGACAGCGACGACCATCCCCGCGTGTACGGGTGCCTTCATATGTCCCATAGCGGTAAAGGCGACACAGACTGACTCATTGACCACGTCCAAATTGCAAAAGATTCCTTGCTACAACAGAGAGATCCGCAGAGACCGTGATTCTTGGCGAATTTAACGCCCACCACGGCGAATGTCTCGGTTCAAGTTTAACTGATCATGCGGGGAGATCTGTTTATAACTTTGCCTTGCCATATGATCTGACCCTACTGGTTATCTCGTCTACGCGGATTCCACAACTGGAGGATCATGCACCTTTCCTATTTGATCTCTCTAGTAGTTCTAGTCGACAGCCCTCTCAGCGCTTCGGACTATTTTCTGGTACAAGTATGATGCCACTCATGCTCCAATCCTCACAGTTATCTACCGTGAGCAAATCATCGTTACAGAGAGCACGAGAGATCTCTGACAGCAAACACCTGGCCGCCAAGCTTCAGCACGTCAAGCAGCTCCTGCACGACAACAAGCTTCGAGTCCCGCGCCTGCGTCACAGTGACCGAGTGAAGCCAGCCACGATCGAGCGTGTGCCTGCTGTACTACCATATGTCAGAGGTGTCACAGACAAGATTGGCTACATCTTAAATCGAGCTTCTATTGGAACATTCTTCAAGCCGCCGAAGATTAGTCAGTTCTTACCATCCGTCAAGTGCAATATCCCTCTACAAGATGCAGGAGTGTACAAGCTTGAATGTGAATGTGGTCTCCATATATACGGCAAACAAAACGATCTTTCAAAACCCGTGTAAAAGAACACATAGCTGAAATGAAACACCAACGTTCCAGGAAGTCTGCAGTTTGTGATCATATCCTAGACGGCCCCCGCCATTACATTAGATTTAATAAACCACAAATTCTCGCGAAAGAACATTGATTCATGCCAAGGATGATACGCGAGGCTATTCTAATTTCAATAAAAAGGGATGCCGAGTGCTACCACCTGCTTGGGATCCTGTAATTAATAAAATTAAAACTAAATCCAAGCATACCACTTCAAGACACAGTAAGTTCATTCTGCGTAGATCGGGCCAAAACTAATAATTAATAAAGTACTCCGGGTTAACTTTGACACCGGGACGTCAATCACCTCAGTCCTCCGTGACCTTGGGTGCTGTTAAGCATCCGAAACGTCGAGAATTTAATAAAAATAAGTTAATTAAATACGATAGAATCCGTATAACTAGTTTAATTCAAGAATATATTTTTTCAAGCAAGGCATTTTATACATATTAGGCAATATGAATTATCCTTCCAAAGACAAACATGTTTGTTTTTTCATTTATTTAATATATGTGGTGCATGTTATTAAGATTAATAAAATTATTTATACTTACGTGTAAACGGTAATGGTTGATGTGGTACAACATTAGTGTGAACCATTTTTGTCTTGGGATTTGTCCACATCCCAATTTCTTTTTCATTCTCGACGTTACTACAAGCTTGAACTAAAGAAGCTGGGCCAGGATCTTCCGCAACCGGAATTGCGACGCCCGAAGTAGAAGGAGCATCCTATTGAAAATCAAAAAGGGTCTAAGAATTTAGACTGTTATTACAAATGGCAATGTGCATATGTTAGGACCCTCATCTGATTTCACGCGATGACCCCGCCCGCGTAGGTATAATTTACTATTTACGCCGTCGTCGCAATTATGCTAGGGGTTGTCACGGAACTGGGATAAATAATTTTGGGTATTGTTATAATTCTCTTTATCATTTATTAACATTATGTGCATACTTATAAGTTAAAAACATTTATTGAACAAGATCATTCTTTATTACTACAAGAAAAAATAAAAGGTCGGGAAAAAAGTTTTTACGTATTTTTTTTTATATTCTACTAAGCCGGCGCTTATCTACGATCCCACCTGATGGTAAAATGGTGACGTAGCCTAAGATGATTAAGCGCACTGACTTAACAAAAGTCTATTCTCTCTTGCCTTGAAGACACCCACACTGTAATCAGATATAAAGACAGTTGCTGGCAACTTATTCCACTCCTTTGCTGTACGCATGATGAACGACGTAGCGAACCGTTTGGTTCCAATGCGTGGTAAGTCAACAACGAAAGGGTAGAGACTGACCAAACGTCTGGTTATTCGATGGTGGAAGGGAGAGGGAGGAATTAAATGATGCAATTTCTGCTCACACTCTCCGAAATGCATCCTGTAGAAAACCGAAAGGCTGGTTACTTTGCGTCTGTGTTCGAGGCTGGTAAGATTGGTGTTAACCAAATTAGGGTCATAATAAGCCTCTTAGCACACCTTTCCATTGAGTCCAAAGCTGCTAGATGGCATTTTGCAGCACCAGCCCATATACGATACGCATATTCCATGTACGATCGGACTTGCGCTTTAAGTAAAGTAAACAGCTGTACCGGCGTGAAGTATCAACGCACGTTTGCAAGGACTCCCAGCTTCCTTGCAGCTGCTTTGACCTTGGACTCAATGAACCGCCCGAAGTTCACATTTGAGGATATCTTAAACCCTAACAACTGAAGGCGGTCGGTATATTCCAGTGATACATTTCGAAAAGAAGGAGCCAAGGTGAGCTGGCTCTTTTTTGCAGTGAAGAGACACGCTTGTTTTGAAGGCGTTGAACTTCACAAGATTGGCATCGCCCCATTCGGAAACTGCCTGTAGTGTGAGATTCACACGCTTTACCATAGCTTCTCTTTCGGACTGGATTTGATCCCGACTGGCCTGAGGACTTGTTTGGTATCTCTCCACAACTGTGCTATCGTCTGCATACCCATAGATAACGGTCATAAGTAGATCGGACCCCTGAGGAACACCGGCGTTAGTTGCCATAGGATCGGATGAGCAGCCATCGACGACGACCCGGAGAGATCGTTCACTCAGAAAGTCCTTTACCCATACAATTAGACTAGGGTATAAGCCGTACGCTGGAAGCTTACCCTAAAGGCTAGTGTGCCAAATTCTGTCAAAGGCCTTCGAGAAATTAAAGAAAACAGCAAGTGCTTCCCCACTGTTCTCGAGTGCCTCGCTCCATACCTGTGTGGCATACGCTACCGCTACGCAGCTGACCGATTTCGGCGAAACCCATATTGCCGGTCAGCCAGCTTCCAGAAATTTGACACTACCAGTGCTAAATGAGAGGTGGAACAAGTGTGTCAGCATAGGAGACAACTCAGGTGCACAAGCCTTTAGAACTATAGCTGGTATACCATCTGGTCCACTAGCTTTATTTACGTCTAGACACCGCAAGGTTTTAAGAACCTTCTTATTTGTTATACGGACCTCCGACATAGAGGTTCCGCAGTGAGGTAATTTAGTTGGAACGTTGTTGCCACTGTCCAGACGTGAATTGTAGGCAAAGAGAGACGAGAACAGGTCCGCTTTCTCTTTAGCCGTATGCGCCAGTGTGCCATCCGGTTTTACCAGCGGAGACGGTGTAGGCCGAAGTTTGTATCGACCGCTTTAGCGAGACACCAAAAAGTTCTAGTGGCGGATGGACTGGCAGTTTTGCGCCAATATGTTTAATGCGATCGAGACTAGCTTTCCGTAATGCTTTTTTGTAGGACTTGGCGGTCTGGTTCAAAGTTCTCTTCTTATCCGGAGCTTTGCGGTTTCGAGCATCAACCCAGGATAGGTACGCTAGATGCTTGCACTTTTCAGTTTGGGCGCATTCAGCGTTAAGCAATAGGCGAGCTTTGCTACCGATGGAAGCGTCGAAGGGAATAAAATACTCCATAGCTTGGCAACACATCCGTTATCGCATCTGCGCAGCTCGACGGATCCGCCGAAGAGAAACAGACCTCCCGCCAAGGATAAAATGCAAAAAAATGTCGCATCTCATCCCAATCAGCTGACTTATACCGCCATATTCGACGAACACCTTGGGACTCGTAATCAGGTGGAGAATATGACGATACAGATTTCACCAGTCAGTGGTCAGATGTACCCAAAGGAGAGGTAACCTTTACTTCATATCTGTATTGTTCGGTTGTCAGCAGAACGTCCAAGCAATTTGCTGTTTGACCGTCTACATCGGGTACCCTAGTCGCTTCCTTTACAAATTTTCTATCCACTGAAGTCCATCCTAAGAAAACTTTGTATTATGGAAGATCAAGATCGTTTAATCGCCATACTCACAGTATTATAGTGCGAGCGAGTGAATAGATATGAAAGAAAGTGTCGATCGCGTAGTTCGCCGCCCGCTCTGTGTGTAAAATACCTAAATTTGCGAAACGCCGAAATGTAAGAGGACTCTTAAATAGTATTATTTTTCTTATAATTATAGCTGTCAAAATACAATATTTGTTTACTTTATAAAAGTGATGTATGAAAGTTAAAAAGAAATTGTTACCTCATACACATTCACCATAATGTTTGAATTAGGCATCCTTCTCTCTGAACCTCCAGGCTGTTGCCTTACTACCCCTGGCACAATGCTCCTTATGCTCTCTCCTACTCTTTGAACTGGCACATTAGCAATATTGCGCCTTTTAAATGACTTCAGTGATGTAAGGGCCATTCTTGTTTCGGCCAGAGCAGATGCTGCCTTCCTTTTTGTCGGAGAATCATCATGCAACATTCTTTGGGCAAAAAATAACTGGAAATTCCTAGAAGATAAAAATGAAAACTGTTTGTTGTGTCAATTTTTTTATTACATCACAAATCAAACAAACAAGAAGCAATTTATTCTGTATATTAGATAACTTATTTTATCCCAAGCAGATGGTAGCACCCAGCCAACCCCCCCCCCCTCCCGTTACCAAGGGTGCTGTAAAGTGCTCGAAACATTGGGAATATAAAATAAGTTAATATACGTGATAAAATCCGTAAAATTCGTGTTCACATTTCACATATAGATTACAAAAAAAACTACAAATATTGTTATATCATCCAAAAAAAATGGAATTTAAATTATTTTTTTTACACTACTAGCAAATACTCATTTTTAAGTGAAAGTTCTATCAATTTACATAGGTATTATTCTGATAAAATCCAGTCTCTATTACTTATATTATGCATAACCTTTTTTAGCATTTAATATTTAAAATTCTAACTGAAAAATAAAAAGTGTCTATTTACATGTGTGCTTGTTCAAGTTCATCCAATGGCTGAGCTTTTGCTTGAAGACCCAACATATACACTTGGTTAGCCTTCTTGTAATCACCAGATTCTTCACAGTAGCATGCCCAGGCACGGTAAAATTCTGAGCATTCCACACCAATGCCTGTATTGTATAGCCTCTGGTATATCTCCAAAGGATTTGATAAACAATCCACCTTAAGACAAAAAACCTTATTTATAAAATAGATTATATAAATGTATTGGTACGCTCAAAATACTTTTCATCTTCAATATCATGTTAGTCATTAAATTGATGACAAATTGGGGACTGCAAAAAAACAAAGATCTCATTGTGTTTTTCTAGTGATCCTTTTATTAGGCTGAGCCCGGGAAGCACTTCAGAATCGACCAACAATTCCTAGTTGCATTTCAATTCAAATACATTCCATTCTTTAGTACATAAAAAACCTGTTGATATTTGACAAATGGAATTTTAATTTCTTGTGTCCAAAATTTCTTTCTTAAAATGTTACCACCACATGGAATTTTTGGTGGGAACTTTATTTGCTGATGATACTTTGTTGATTTTCCTACAAAAGCTGAACGCACATTTGTCCGCACCGTACGGCATCGTACACGCCGAGTTTTACTAATGGCCTCGCACATTTGCCCGCACGCATCGTCCGCGCCATACGCAAATTTTTTGTATTACCAACAACTTTTCTAGTTTTTTCCAACCACTCGTGTGAAACGGTACAGTGAAATTGATCGTTCGAAATCACTATGGAAAGAAATATAGTAATAGCCTGCTATAGCCTATTGGCAGAGGAAGAAGAAAATAAATTCGAAGAAAAAGAAGATTCTGGATTCATAATATTAATTTAAAAAGGCAATTGTTGTCGTGAAGCGACAATTAAAAACAAAAAAAGAACCTAACCTAGCAACAAAACAACAAAAATAGGGCAAAACAAATAATCTATTTAAAATATAAAAAAAAGATATTTACAGATTCATATAAAAAAAAATGATGTATGAGGATGAAGATGGGTGATGTGATTTACAATTATTTCAAAAAAAAAGATAATAAAAATGATGGGTATTGAAGCTGAGACCGAAGATCCAAGAGGTACACCGCTTTTGGTGGTGTTCTTCGCTGCCCACAGATTATACGCAGACTGTGCTGGTGGTAGGCCCACAGCGCCTGGAACGAGCACGCACAGCGTAGGTGAAGGCGTGGGTGTGTTTAGGCGACGACTTCAGATGAATGCAGAGGTTTGCAAGATCCGGCGTCTTCAGGCAAGACAGAGGCTTGCAGGATCGCAGCGACTTCAGGCAGGACAGAGGCCTGCAGGATCCGGCGACTTCAGGCAGGACAGAGGCTTGTAGGATCCGGCGAATTCAGGTAGGACAGGGGCTTGCACGATCGGGCGACTTCAGGCAAGACAGAGGCTAGCAGGATCGGGCGACTTCAGGCAGGACAGAGGCTAGCAGGATCCGGCGACTTCAGGCAGGACAGAGGCTAGCAGGATCCGGCGACTTCAGGCAGGACAGAAGCTAGCAGGATCGGGCGACTTCAGGCAGGACAGAAGCTAGCAGGGTCCCGGCGGCTTCAGGCAGCACAGAGGCTTGCAGGATCCCGGGGCAGTGCGGCCCCGGGATAAGGCCTTTAGGAGATTCTTCGAGTTTGAGAACCGAAGCGAGACTCAGTTTCTTGACCGATTGTTCGGCTTTTATACCTTTTTAGAGAGAACGGAAAATTATTTAAATTGAAAGCAAATTTTTTGTAAATGGCCAAGAGGAAAGAGTATTTATGTGGAATTATCGAAGTAGAAACAACAGACCGGTAGCGAATTTGAATAAAAATTGCCATGACAACCAGATAAACAACGATGTCAAAACATGTCAAATTTTGGTTTTAGGCTCGTAATAGAGAAACGGCAAGATTTAAGTGAAAAATGAGATATTATTGCTATAGGAAAAAAGGTAGCGCACCGGCGCGCACAAAGCCCGAAATTGCAGAGTTACGGAGAACTAAATAAAAGATCGAAAAAGGTAGACTCCATCGACACCAAATTAAAAAATGCTGATAGCGTGAAGATACGAAGTGAAAATGATTTGTTATTGTTTTCTTATGGTTTAAAAACGTTACAGGATCCTATGGAAATAAAGGTGATACAAAATATCCAGTTTTGAGGTGAATGAAGAAAATCAAAACAGAATGGAAAATGAATTTAAAATAGTGTAAAATGATATGTAAGTAGCATAACACTACATTGTATGGGGACTATACTTTATTTAAAGACTTATTAGATGATGATGAAGCCACTTCAGCTTACTAATCCGTTGGGCTATGTCGGTCACTCTGGTTCTACTGTGGATATCCTCATATTTAAGTTTATCTAGCCCTCTCCATAGCTTGCTGAGTGACCTTGAGCTTCCTCATCCGGCCAGCAATGAAGGAGCACGTCTCTGTTCCATAAGCCATCACTGGCAACACGCACTGGTTGTAAAGTCTCATTTTTAAGTTTTGAGGTATACCTGATGAGATGTGCCATAATTTCCTGAACGCTGCCCAACCGAGTTGAATCCGTCGATTGACCTCACGGTCGAAGGTAGACTTACCTAGTCAGACTATTTACTTTTTTACTGTTCTCATCTCTGGGCCGGGGCACCCCTGTGCCAGCTCCTTCCACTTGACCGCATCCAGCGCAGAGCGATTCGAATCGTCGACGACCGAGTTCTTCCCGATCGGCTCGATACACTGGCACTGCGTAGAGATGTTGCATCTCTTTGCGTATTTTATCGCATCTATCACGGGGAGTGCTCTGAGGAATTGTTCGGACTAATTCCAACCGCTCAATTTCACTATCGTACATCGCGACAAAACTCGCGTTACCATCCATACCATCTGGATGATTAGCGGTCCACCACTGTGCGATTTAGAAGAAGTTTTCTCCCTCGCACAACTTCTTTGTGGAATCAATTACCACCAGCGAATTTTCCAAACCGATACGACTTAGGAACCTTCAAGAAAAGAGCTTACACCTTTCTAAAAGGCCGGCAACGCATCTGCAATTCCCCTGGTTTTGCGGTTGTTCATGGGCGGCGGTAGTCACTTACCATCAGGTGAGCTGCATGCTCGTTTGCCCCCTATTCTATAAAAAAAAAAGACTATTTGTCCCAGGTACACATACTTGTCAACAACTTCGAGGTTAGTGCTTCTAAAAACTACCGGCATAGGTGTGACACGGACATTAAACATGATCTTTGTTTTGTCCATGTTCATCTTAAGACCTCTCCGTTGGGAGACACTATTGAGGTCATTGAGCATAGTGCTTAGGTCCTCCAGCCATTCTGCCATAAGGACTATATCGTCGGCAAATCAAAGGTGAGTGATGTACTCGCCATTGATGTTAATACCGTATCCAATGCAAAACGTCTTCCAATGCAGTGGTGAAGAGTATCGAGGATATAATGTCACCCTGTCTTACACCTCTCTGCAAATGGATAGGTTTCGTACTCTGGTTCTGTACTCGGATAGCCACCGTAGCCCTACTGTACAAGCACTTCAGCACTTCGATATACCGACAGTCAACTTGGCACCGCTGAAGGGACTGCAGCACCGCCCAAATTTCGACGGAAAATCGAAAAGGCTTTCTCATAGTCTACATACGCCAGACATAGTGGCAAATTATACTCCTCAGACTTCTGTACAATTTGCCGAAGGGTCTATGGTGCTAAAGCCTTTTCGGAAACCGGCTTGTTCGGGAGGCTGTAAGTCGTCAAGTTTGCGCGCGAGATGATTTGTAATGAGTCTCGAAAACAGCACGTAGACGCGACTCAGAAGGGAAATCTGTCTGTAGTTCTTCAAGAGAGCGTTGTCACCTTTCTTGAAGAACAAGACCACCACACTTCTGCTCCACGCCTCCGGTGTAATGCCACCATGGAGGACTGAATTAAAGAGTTTCTGAAGGACTTCGAGTACCAGTTTTCCACCCGCTTTCAGAAGCTCCACTGTAATTCCGTCCTCGCCTGGGGCCTTGCCGTTTTTAAGGTGCTGGAGAGCCATTCTAACCTCAATCAGACTGACGTCCGGGATATCATCGCAATACAACATCAACCTGGTACAATATAAAGTTATTAATAGCAATGAGATCAAAAATTACCAGTAAATTCTAACATCTTTAACGTTTTAAGTAGAGTATGGCAGACCGTCGTAAAAACTATGACAATCACTGGGTAATATTGACTAGTTGCTGCAGATGGATGGGTATTCGCTCTTATTTTATGCATAAAATAACATAGAAGGTATTTCTTTTGTAAAGTTAGGATTCATGTCCAGCAAAATTTTAGAATAATTTTGTCAACTTATACATAGCAGTTATTTCTATTAGTATTTTAAAGCATAAATAATTAAATAATGTTTTAGAAGATTTTGTACTAACAAAATAATAATTTCTTGCACGTACTAACGTGCAAGAAATTATTGTACGTCGATCTGCATTAAAATCTGAAAATCACTAAAAACGAAGATAGGAGGTATTGGTACTTCATTGTCCATATACTAAAAACATTATACCTTCATTTTTTATTTAAATACATACCTGAACCAGAAAAAAGACTTGTTGTATGTTTGAGGTAAGTATTTTTATTGATAAGTAATCAGGTATAATTGTGTTTTTGAATTAAATTTAAGTATTTTTTTAGTTCAGTATTTAAATAATTTATGGCATACTTATTGAAATCAATACAAAAAAAATCAAATTATATATAATTAAGTACAAATGAATTAAAAATTATAAAAATACAAAAATTATCATGTAACCACCAGTTATAGTGGAAAATCCACTAAGTTGGCAACACCACGTTATATGACGTCATCAGCATTCGTCCTTTGATATCGTATACCTACCGCATTTTATAAAATTTGGCGCGTACGGTGCGGGTGTAATGTGCGAGGTTTCATATGATTTCATACAACGAATTCTAAAATTCGGCGCGTACGGCGCAGACAAATGTGCGTTCAGCTTAAAAAGGCAATTATTGAAATATGACAAAGTGAATAATGCTATATCAAAAGTAGTACACTGGTTTAACATCAATAATTTGGTTTTGAATGGTAATAAAACGAAATGTATTAAATTCACTACACCTAATGTGTTAAAAAGGTGTATACCAGTGCTTTTAAGTGGGGAGGAGCAGGGTTTTGTTGAATCCACTGTTTTTCTCAGTATTACAGTTGACGCAAAGCTTTAATGGGGCCCACATATATCTAAACTAGCTAGCAAACTTTGTTCTGCAGCATATACTGTAAAAAAGATTAGATGCCTTACATGTTTTAAAACAGCTAGATTAGTTTATTTTAGTTATTTCCATAGCATAATGTCATATGGAATCTTGCTATGGGGTAATGCAACTGACATTGAAACTATCTTTGTTTTGCAAAAGAGAGTCATAAAAGCAATTTATAACCTAGGTCCAAAGGAATCCCTTAGAGAATAATTTAAAGAAATAAATATATTAACTTTGGCCTCTCAATATATTTACGAGAACTTATTGTATGTACACAAAAACAAAAATAGTTTTATTAAAAATAATGATGTACATTCTGTAAATATTAAAAACAAGCACAAGTTAGTTATACCAGTTACTCTACTCCAAAGGGTCAGTAATTCCTTCATGGGGCAATGTATTTGCTTTTACAACAAAGTCCCAGAAAATATGCAGACCTTTTCTATCAAAAGGTTTAAATTATTTATTAAGCAAAAATTGTCTAGTAAGGGTTATTATACTACTAAAAAGTACATGACTGATAATAACCCCTGGGAATGAGGTGATCACTACAATGCTGTTTCTAAATGTTTACATAATAATTGTATAAAATATTATATTGTAAACTGTGTTTTTTTAAAAAAGTCTTGCTGGGTTTCTTGCTGGTTATTCACAAGACAGGTTTTTTTTTTCAAACCAGTGGTAAAAGTAAAAAATGACTTTCAATAAGTATTATGTACTATAATCTATATTGAATAAAAATTATTCTATTCTATTTTATGTGAACTATTAGTGAAAACGGTGAAATAAGTGCTCTAATGGTGATGTGAATCTCAAGATAAGGTGTCTGTGTCTGCTAAGGCACCTTGAGATACTATCGCCAACTGTCTGCTGGCAAGTTGCCATCAAAATCTCCCAAAAACTATGGAATATGACACATCAGTGTATTGTGAAGTAGTGTACTATAAAGGATTATTATCAATTGATACTGAAAATCTATAAAAAAAATCCTGAATAAAATGAAGAACGGCTTAAAGGTAAAGCATCCAAGCTTTACTTGATTTTTATTGATAAGCATATACTTGATTTTAATTATGTTTTCAGTTTAGAAGTTTTTGTATGTCACTGTTTTTGAATGTCGGAAATGCATTTTGAATTAATTACGATAAAAATAAATTTCACTAAAAATTCCATATAACGAAACGCAAATATGACAATTTTGTATAGTGTTATGAGATTAGATGTCAAAACCTATGTAAAAAGTGAGAAATGGGACATTGTTGACGGCCATGTTTTACATTATACTATACATTAATTTAATGATGCAAAAATTAAATATTTAAAAATGTATAAAACTAAATGGTTTCAAGCTTGACATTTGTTATCCCATTTTTAGTACTTTTAATTAATTGATTAAATAAAGTTATATTTAATAATTATCCAAAAATATTTTAGTATTTCACATCTTTACTATTCCTATCTACTAAAAGATAATCAGTATTTGAAATTGCCAATTCTAAAGCTGAGCAGAGCTTAGTTAGCATGAAGCCTCACAGTATAAAAACAAAGTAGATTTGCTTTTGTAAGTTGTTTGTTTAGGTACTAATAATAAGTAATTTGGTTAACACAGTGTTTTATCACTTTCACCAAAATTGTGTTGAGTCCTACAGCTGTTTTATTAGCTCTTCTAATTTTACTAAAATCTTAACAACAGTGGAACTTTAGATTTATAATAATTTAAAATTACCTTCTTTTCTGCCTTTTTAAAAAAAATAATTACGTTTGTGAATTCAGCTAGACTAGTCAAGATTACATTATACATTCATTAATGATGTAAAAACTATAAACTAAAAGTTCAGAGGTGATATCCACTCATTTTATAGTTTTCTATAGTGTTAAAGAATGTATATAAACCTTTTAACCTAACCTAACCTCACGAATATTCTTTGCCGTTATAAATTAAAAATTTTCAATGCAGGTTTTATGGAATCCAATAACTTATAGATCATCATACTCAAATATTATCACCAATAACTTAAAATTATATTGGTTCTATAATTTAATATATGAAAGAATACATAAATTGGTGTAAGAAAGTACATACAAACTTTTTATCTAAATGAATCTCTCAACAAACTAGACTCGAATTGAGGAGCAACATTACCAACCAGAGGGTAACTGCTTGAGCTTATAAGCCTGCTGCTCACTGATCACGTATGAATATTAATATATGAATAATTCATAATAAATACTTTAAAAATCAAGAAGATTTATTAGATACACTTACATATTTTATCCACAGCTTTACAAGTCTTCTATCTTGATAATATCTTTCATCCTTTTCAAATAATTGTAAACAATCTTTTATTAATTTGTCTATATGCCCTTCATGGCCATGCTTGGGGTATGACTGTTCAACCCACTGGATATAGTTAAACCATGGTTCCAAGGGGTCCATGCCTTGATATTGCCTGATAGCTGCTTCATGTTCCCTATTTAGAAAATCCCGACAGTTATTTTATGTATTTTGAATGTAGCAGCGCTTAAAATTAGTATGAGGAATATGTATTAAAGGAAATAATATGTCGGAGGGTAACTTGATACAAAACAAGACAGTGCTTGGAATAATTTAAATGATATTAAACAAAAAGTCTTACTCTTTTTGCAACTGAAGCTGTCTTTGAGCGTCGACATCCGATTGGGCTTGCAATGCAGTTCCCAGCTGTAAAAGATTTCTACCTCCTCGCAATGGTTGTATATTTTCTTTACTAACGTCTATATCCATAATAGGAGCTCAATGGAGTTTAAATATCAGTACATTGGCGATAAACACTAAAAACTGATCACAAATATGCGATTTCAAAAACTTAAATACAAAGCTTGCATAAGCTTATAAACACCGTCACAATTCTTTCAGTGGTATTAATACTGACAAAAAGATCACTATTCAACTTAAATTATTTTGTATTCATTTGGATTCAGCTGTTAAATCTGAGAAAAATTCGTGACTGTTACCAACCGAACCACCAAATCAGAAATCAACCTCCATCAAAATGACATTATTACTAGAATGCAGTAGTCTATGGTAAGATTTGAATTTATAAATAAGTATGGCCGTTATATAGTAATGTTTTGATGATTGTGCGGCAGAGTTATTGGTGGTTACACCTGTTTTTATATTGAAATAAGTTTTTAATCCTTTTTCGATTTCAATTTGCGTAAACCTCTGTTCTGTTTGTTAAACGTTTTATACACTGTCCATCTTCCGTACGTACCGGGCATGGACGTATAAATAAGGCGGACTGAATCTTGCTATACAACTCAGCGAGGCACCCAAAATAAGTCTGCTCGCTTGTACGTACAAGGGGTCACGCACACATTCACACTAATGATAAGTCTAAATAGCGCCCGCCATTACGCAACAAACGTCATCCGCGAAAAGTAGTTACCGTTAACCTTATTTATACGTCCATGATGCTGGGTTTACGTCCATCACGGACACAGACCCAGTAGAAACGCAGTCTATTAGACTAAGTCTAATACAAAATACGAGCGTAAAATGACGCAAGGTCATTATGTTAGTGGGCGCGAGTTGAATGTGCCTACGCTCGTCACACGCACACATACACGTCATTCAGTGATACCAGTTTCTAGCGTTTACAATCAAAATATGAAAATCACTATTTTATTGATGAATTTTAAATAATTGATATAATAAAGATTTACGTACGAAGACGTATTTACGACGTATTACGTACGAAGACGTATTTATGAGAATATAAAATGGAATAAAATAAACACGATAATGATGGTACTTATATAACTTTATTATACATATTTTAATGGTACAAAAAAGCAGACGTCATAAAATTTAAGAATATTATTAAACACAATTAATTTGCTCGAATACAATAAGAACATCGTGTCTGTTTAATTTTAGCCGACTTCAAAAAAGGAGGAGTTTCTCAATTCGGTGTATTTTTAATTTTTTCACCTCATAATTCTATAATTTCTAAACCAGTTTAGATTTTTTATTTGAAAGCATATACACACAGATTGATCCAATATACACTGAAATTTTAATGCTTGTTTTCCTGAAGTCAAATGATTTTGTCTTGGTAGTACAATAGATTTATTAAAATAAAAATTATTAGGATGCAAAAATGGCAGATTTTACAATCGAGAAAAACAAAACTTTTTTAATTGTAATATTTTTATTTTAATAAATTGACTACTATCGAGACTGTATAGTTTGGCTGCGGGAAAACAACCACTAAATTTCAGCATGTATATACGAATTGATCTTAGAAATCAATGTACATGTCAATTAACCAAGCTTATTAATATAAAATAATGTCGTTGAAATGGCTTCGACGGATCGCGATCAGCTGATTACTCCATGTTAGTTTTAAATAGGCACCCATAGTTAATATTATAGTAATACCTAGAGAAGTAGGTATCTATATATAAACATTTGAGTTTTACAAAGAGAGAGTTGCGATTAAACGTTATTAAACATACATACATACATACATAAACACTCACGCCTGTCACCCAGAGGGGTAGGCAGAGACTACGGACTTCCATTTGGCGCGATCCTGACACACCTCTCTCGCCTCTTTCACATCCATATATCTACGCATACACGCTCGTCGGTTAAGGGTACTCCTAATCTGGCCCATTTTTAATGTATCGCCGATCTGGTCGATAAACCTTCGTCTAGGGCGTCCCTTCCCGACCCTGCCGTTCACTTCTGCAACATAAATTTGCTTTGTCACTCTTTCCTCGTTCATTCTTTCTACGTGACCAAACCACCGAAGCATTCCTTTCTTAATCCTTGTCACAACGTCATCTTGCAAACCACACTTTTCTCTTATTACACTATTTCTCACCCTGTCATTCAGATTCAGCCCTAGCATACTCCTTAAGGAACGCATTTCTACAGCATTTATTCTACTCTCATGCTTCTTCTGCCAGACCCAACTTTCACTACCATACATTAAAGTGGGTACTAACACAGCATTATGAATTGCCATACGTGCCTTAGTTGACACATTCTGACTCCTCACAATAGCGTGTAGAGCCCCATTCACTCTATTTCCTGCGTTCACTCGTCGTTCTATATCCTTATCATATCTACCATCCCTGCTAAATAAACATCCCAAATATACAAACTCATCCACTTGCTCAATCAACTCCCCTTCTATTCTTATTTTACATAAAGTTTTACTTTCTTCTCTTTCAAAAACCATCACTTTCGTCTTACTTGCGTTCACTTTCATACCCCTTTCTTTCAATGAACAATTCATTAAAGTAACCATCATTTGCAACTCGGCCGCCGACGATGCAAATATGACTTGATCATCGGCGTACAAAAGGCATTTGACGGTTGACTCACCCATTCTCAACCCACATTCTTCAACTTTCAAAGTTTGCAAACAACTGTCCATAAATAGGTTAAACAGCCACGGGGAAGCCACACATCCCTGTCTGACACCTTTATGAATGCCAAACCAGTCCGAGTAGACCCCGTTGATCCTGACACAAGCACTAGAGTCCCTATAAAGAGACCTCAATGCCTGTATCAAGCCAGCGCTCAACCCAAATGAGTTCAGTGTTTGCCATAACACGTTCCTGTCCACTCTGTCATAAGCCTTTTCCAAGTCCAAGAACGCACAAAAAACTTTCTGGTTTTTAGCCAAAAACTTCTCCGCTATCATGCGCATGGAAAAGACTTGATCCGTACACCCCATCCCCTTTCTAAATCCAGCTTGCACATCCCAAATTTTTCCATCAGTTTCTTCCATAACTCTTTTTAATTAAACACAAATAGAAAATAAATATTTTTAAAAGAAAATTGTGATTTTTTTCCCCACAACTAGCAACATTCGTGTTATGATGGCTTAGGTAAGTATTTTTGTACTTTTACGTACTTATAATGAATTATTTATATGAACTTATATGTGAGATGTAATACCATCATTTTTTATGTTTATCATCACTGTTGAGACAATATTTTACAACAAAAACTGTCATATTTACAATTTTTCGCGAGCTCTTCTCCGTAAGACGTGACGTTACGCACTGACGCGCCGCGGAGTGAACTTACTCGGTTTCGCGTTAATTTTAGTTGCTTCACTTTTGGTGTGCGTACTAGTATTCTATACGTAATAATTCTCTGATTATAACTTAATGTTAAAAACAAAGACATTTAAGTAGTAGTAGTAATAGACCGGGCATCAGTAGTTCAGTAGCAAAATTGTCGTCTGTAACCATGGTAAGTCTGTAACAACGGTAAGGCTTAGATGTTATCAGGAAAATTTATATTCGATCTTCACATGCAACGCTCACTTCATGTTTAGTTATATTATCATCGAATTGTAATAAAGCAAAGCGGGGGACCCATAGCATAGGGTAACCTAGTTTGGGCTCATGTCTCCCATAATAACTAAAAAATTCTTAAACTATTTATGACAGAAATGTAACTGTATAAAAAGTGGGAAAAATAAATGTTTTATTATTTATTATTAATTTATAATCAAAGGTTCAACTTCATCTCTCATAAAAGCTTTTTTCAAATCCGTTCCCCGGAGGTCTTCTGCATGCTTTACACATTTAACCTAGTTTTCCCTGGAAACGTTTTATCTTGCTTTATGCAGAAGAACTTCAACATCGGCTATTTGAAAAGAATGATTTATCGCTGCAATTTCTCCTTTTACCTGAGCCCATATGAGCTCAATAGGATTATATTGACAACGATATGGTGGCAGTCGTATCAATTCATGATAACATGATCATTTGCCAGCTGATCTATTAAATAATTTTTAAGCCTCTCTTTAACTTTTATTGAATTATTTGTAAATGCGATGTTTTTTTCGTAACCAATCCTGAATGTCTTTCTTTTTTGTAGCAGATGTTGATATTCTTAGTAGAGGACAGAGTGCAGAGTTGGCACGTGGAATGTTAGAGGAGGCATGAGAGATAAGACGAATGAGTTGATCGAAATAATGAAAGAAAGAGAATTAGATGTCGTGTGTATGTCGGAGACCAAACGGAAGGGCAGTGGTACTGAAGAGCTCCCTGGCGGGGCGTTAGCTCTATGGTCAGGAGTCCCGGAGAGCGAGAACGCCTGCCAGGGAGTGGGGGTGCTGCTGTCTTCTCGGTTGGTCGATGTTATGACTGAATATAAGGTTGTGAACTCAAGACTTCTCTGGGTTCGCTTTAAATTGGGACTGACGAAGTTATTCCTTTTGGCTGTTTATGCGCCGGTAGCTTCGTCGTCCAGGGCTGAGCTGGAGGAGTTTTGGGAGAATGTAAGAGAAGTTCTAGATTTGGCTAGGGGAAACGAAAGAATTGTTGTATGTGGTGATTTGAATGGATGGGTTGGTACCGCTCGACCAGGGTACGAGTCGGTACTTGGAAAGTTTGGCGATAAAAGGGTTAATGATGCTGGCAAGCTTATACTGGCGGTGTGCAAGGAAAAGGGTCTTCTTGTGACAAACACTATGTTTAATCACAAGAAAATCCATATGTATACTAGAGAACGAAAGAATGAGAGAAGTATGATTGATTTGTTCCTGGTGGATGACCGACTGCGAAAACAGGTGATGGATACGCGAGTGTTCAGGGGTGCTGACCTGGGAACGGATCACTATCTAGTGATTACTAGATTTAGGGGTCTGTTCGCGGGTTGGCGCTACCGGACGGCAGTAACAGAACCACAGTCGGTCTGTCGCATCCGAAGCTGGAAGCTTCAGGAAGCGGATACTAGGGACAAATATCATG